TGTTCTTTGCCTTTAGGGAGCTGCAGTGGGGAAACGCGGGCCAGGTTAGCTATTTACAGGACAGCGTAATGCATTTAAAGTCATGATGGGGAAAATGAAGCTGGGGTGTCCATCTGCTCACACAGATGTGCGACCGCTTCTCATGCGATGTAACCTAGTTGGACAAAGTTTTGCTCTCTCTAAATGCATCTATCCGTTCCTGTCGATTCTCTTCTGTATTTAACATCCATAATCTACATTCAGACTGTCACAATGTATTCCATGAATATATTATTACATTTTTTAAATGAAATAGCAGGAGCATTTTTATCTGCACACTATTCATTAGACAGTACCTGATTTGAATCCATTCTAAGACTTTAAAAAGTACACTGTAAAGAATGTAGATTTGTCAAGTATGCCGCTGTTCCTCACGGTGTGTTCCCATGGTAACCCACTCAGGACTACACATAGTCTTTTATTTAAGAAAAAAAAAAAAACTAAATACAGACAAAAACTAAAAACTAGAGAACCTGATATGATTCCAGGCTTTTGTCTGAATTAACAGTGATGTTTGGTAAAACATGTGGGGAGAAGAGTTTATGGCCATAACATTAAACACACCTGTTTAAAAACTATTATAAATGTTTAGATATTTAATGAATTGTTCATGTTGGTGTCTTTTGTGTTTATGGCATGTACATTTACACAATACTTCTAATATCCCCATCAACTGGATTAATTTTAATTTGTTTTGTGTAACTTTGTTCGGATCAAGATGCACCTGTTGTGATATTTCAATGTATAGAACTTCAACTTCATCACCTTTTATTGTTTCATTAGCTCTTCAATTTTTGAGTACTGATGCCAAGTTACAGGAAAGCTGAAGAAGTAAGTGGTACACATGACAAAGCTGAGATGTAACTACCAGTCTCAGTAGTCTTAAAACATCCATGTCACTGGTGGCTGCACATGTGCAGTGTATGGTTATACAGAGCCACTGTAAGCCAGACTGTTAGCCAGTAATGCTACAAATAATATGGCTTTTCATGTAACACTGCCAAGGACCACGTGCACTACAACTACAAACGTTGGTAAAATTACAAAAACCAGTAGAGTCGTAGAATAAATCAGTCGGGTTCTTGAGATTAATAGTGAACTTAGAATTTCAAACCATTT